TTGCAAAATTACTTTTGATAACCATCGCATTTCATATTCATTGCAATTCAACGCACGATTGCATGAGTTTCGAAATTACGCGGACACTAAACTGACAAATAAGTTTTTATAATATTTTTAACATAGTCTGAAGAAGCTTATTAACTTTGCGTCCTCATTTACTATTTGATAATAATAAAGTTTTAACTTAGTTTAGTTTTCATAATAGATGTTTAATGGCTTTTAATGCATTAATACGATAACTTTTCTTGAACAGCCATGAAATCGTCCAAACTAACATTCTCGAACTTAGTTCACGTTCTTTCCATAAAATATGGTGGAAGGGACTGATCTCGCTAGAGGTATACAAGCTCATGAAAATGAATTTTCTTTTCTTATATTTTGCATTATTTTTATAAGAGCATAAGTACCAGCCTTGATGTATGTAATGCTTAGAAAAACTTGGTGTGGTGTCGCGTCATATTATGGTATTACCGGTTTAGGACGCCTATCGTTCCGTCTGTCGTCTACTTATATATGTATTTTACATTCACGGTATTTTGATGAAATTCGATAAAGCGAGTTGTTTAGACTCCGAATGGAACGCTATACATTTTGAAAAAGTCGATGCATGAGTCGATGCTGTGAAATATAACATTTTGGCGTAATGAACATGTGGATGAGGTGGGAACATATTTATTGAGGTGGGAACATATTTATTGAAACAACCCATGAAAGCGTTCCTCCAAAATATAAGTCCTCCTATCCAATTACCTTTTTCGAACGTCTTCCAACATAAGGCCGCTCAATGAAAGTAGGCAATAAAACACAAGTTTTCATATTTTATAACGCAAGTAGGTGAAGGTTCGTACTAGGCATATTTGCGTAGAGTATTTGACAGCCTGTCTTGTCCCACCAAAACATTTTTTTCTTTTTTAAAGAGAAAATGAAAAAATTATTAAAATTATATGTAAACGATGATCTTGCCGGGTTAAAAGGCAACTTGAATGTAATAGTCTAGAAAAAGATGTTTTTGGGGATTTTTTTGGGACACAAGAAAAGGCAATAGAATAATAGTATTGAAGGAGGTTATTAAAGGTATATTTAAGTTTTAAGAAAAAATAACTTTAGAATTTTGTTGAAACATCAGTTTTGCAGCATGCAATTCAAACGGAATAAATTTAATTTAAAAAAAGGACAATAAATAAAAACTATGTAGGAGACCTCCGCTCAATATTAATTACCGTACGCCGCCCTATTTTTATTCATATAACGGGCATTTCAAAAGTATTTGTAAGGCTGAAAAATCTTTCCGTTTAGAACCATTTTCAAGAGCGTTCGCCCGTCGACCAAAACCCCAATTTACTAAATTTCATCAAAACAACTGCAAATTGCGGCCTGTGCGTTGACTACAGAAAAATAAGAAGACGGCCAGAAGAGTAGACAAACATCGATCAATTCAGAAAGTGGTTTTGATAAGAGGTGGATCTACCTCATGTTCTTATGGGTGTTGCATCCGCGCGGACTTAATATACGCTTGCACCACATCGCCCTTGTAGATTGGCAAGCGTTTGAATGAGAAAAGTTCACTTGTCGATCGACAAAAAAGAATGCTCTTTCAACGATAGAAAGTGTGTGGACAAGCTTATTGAAAATATCCTACGCCATTCCGTAGAGAACGTTAATTTAAAGATACTGCAAAAAATGCGAATGAAAGCAATACAAATTGTTTGAGGTACGCTGCGTGCCGTTTTCAAATATGTGCGTTCCATTACACCCAATTAAAATTTCGAGCGCCCCTATATTGCCATATGATTATATTTGAAAATTCATTTTCTCAATCTCTTCGTCTACAGTTACCTTTTATGGCATTCTGGACTCTTTAAATGGTTATTTAAGTCAACAAAAAATCTCAGATTCTCTGAAAAATTTGCGGTGATGTTAACTTTTAAAAGATGAAACCGACATGACGTGAGTTAAATATAATAAAGTAGGGCAAAACAACTATCTAGAATTCCAAAGAAGATTTGGATAGATAGACATTTTGTTCCCTCCCACCCAGCGCATCAATCAATAACCTTGAAGGCTATATATACACAATTGTTCAGCAGTCGAAGGCATTTTTACTCGAAAGAGGACGTAACTCCTACAGAGATCAGTTTTAATTTTGTAATATAAAAATCAATATAGGAAAAGCAATGAAGAGGAGTGCAGTCGTCTTTTGCAAAAACTTAATCAGAGTAATTATACCCTACACCACTTGTGGTATAAGGTATATGAAATTTGTTTGGACGTATGTAACAAGCAGAAGCGCTTACGGTAGACGGAACTATTATTATACGAAACTTTTTCTAAATCGATCTAAACATGTCTACCCGTCTGCTCTTCTGATGTCCATCCATGTAAATTTGTGTTCAAGCTAGAAGCCGCAATTTTTGAGATATTTTGATGAAATTTGGTCTACTGATGTGCTATGACCACAGCGCGCATGTCCTGGAAAATGGTTTTGAAAAGTATAAACGAAAAAAATGCAATTTTCCACATTTTTCTAGAAATTCGCTCTGCGATAGTATTTGGACATGCTAAATTAGTATGAAAAATTCGTTTGGGCTGAGGCAATTTTTTGAACACTTTCCCGTATAACTGCTTCTACGAAATATAAATTTTTATATAGTAAAAGTATATAAATTGTAATACTCCAATTATGAAAATGAAAATTACCTTATAGTAGTAAATCGGCACAGAAATTCACGTTACCGAATTTGGACCACGTAGGTCTATTTCCTGGATACCAACGCATATAAGGATTCCTCCAATATTCATGAAAAGTATGCCTTTGCATGAAAATAATGTGTAGCTTTTGATGCATCTTTACCAACACGAGTGGATAAACGTATTAGGCTAAGTGGTGTAGGATATCTAATAGTCGGCCTTGCCTGACTTACTTGTTTTACTATGCTTATGTGATAGAGTAAAACGCCCGTTATTCCAACATATGAAGCAAATTTAATAGCATTACTTTTTGTGAAGTAAACAATTCCAGATAGACATAGGTAGATTCGTTTAAAGACATGTTTGGACCCACCATAAACATTTCAAATTAAAATCAAAGTCAAAAAAAGAAAGAAAATTGCACGAATTTTTTTGTGTATTGCGCGTACATGCATCAAAATAAGCTGCCGCCTTTATAAAAAAGATGACATTCGTACCCAATTTTGTTGTTTTTTTTTTGTTTTAGTTTAATATTAATTTCTCTTATTATCCATCCGCACATAGATAAACTCAGAACATTTGCATTAAGTAAATTGTTTTGATTTATTGTTGTCGTTACTGCTGATATTGTAGACGTTCTCTGCAGCTTATGTATACAAAATTAGTTTCATCATTTTTCTCTGGTTATTACAATTTCAATGAATTCATAAAATTTTCTGTGCACTATTATCACAGCTACTTGTTGCTGCTTTAGTGCGCAAGTGATGTTGTTTTAATGTTAATTTGCAAACATAAGTTTAGTAGCGTACAACGACTCAATAGCTTTAAAACGAATCTCAGGCACTCATCATAGATTTAAAGGTTTTAATTCATTTGGCAATGCTTTCAATAATAAGTGACTTCACTGGTGTTACTGATGTTAACAAAACGAAAGACTGCATTTTGATTTGCATCTCTTTCTTTCAAATAGCAATGTAGAGGGGGACATAAGCGCATTCCTTCTATTTTCATTGCGGAGATTGTTCGAAGTAATAAATGCTATCTACGCGACACCGTTTGGGCCTGTATTTCATTTTATGAGCGTAGTCGTAAGAGAAGAATCGACTGACAGTTTGAGTAAGCAGTAATAAAGTAGGTGAGAATTTTCTTATTGGAAACTACACTGCAAGTTGATCAAGTAATCGTGTATATTTCGGAGCAGGCGCACCCAGTTCCTGGGTGCTATAAGCAAACTTACAACAAAATGAAAAAATACAGTAGAGTAACTGTTAAATAACCATCCGACTGCAAATAGATTTATTTTAATGATGAAAGTCTTCGTGCAAACATCGTAGTTTTCGACCAGGAATTCCGCAGTTCATTTGTTTATAGCAAGGTGAGGAATTGATAAATAAAGCACGGGCGTGTTGATGAAAAATTATCGCGTCGAAATAAAACAATATTCGGTGATTTCCTAAAATGTCGTAAACATAACCTTTTTATTCAATGTCAGAAATCGACTAAGAGCTGAGGCCATTGTCAATTTCTAAGAAAACCAATTTTTTGATTGGCTTAAATGATCTTCTTTATGATGAAGAGTCATAATGAACAAGGAATTATTTTGTTCTAATACTTAAATACGCCTCTAATACTTGAATATGCCCCAAAAGGTAGAATCGCTAAGAACACGTTTTGAGAATAACTAAATCAGCAGCTGGCACTATATCTGGGCAAATTTCGGTTCAAATTTAGATTCGATGTAAATGTCGCGCCCCAGGTTGCCACTTCCTTTGATCGATGCAAAGTAATTAAACTGAAGTACCAGGTACTTCAATTCTTCCGCTGAGTTGCTTTATTGGAAAAATTGTTCAACAAGATGTCGAGAAGGGAGCGATTTCCGACACTCGGAGAAGTTCAAACTATATGAAGCCTATCAATTCCATCTCTGCCCAGTGAACTTAAATTTGAGTCCGATTAAGAAAGCCTTCACTGTAGAAGGCAGCGGTATGCTTATCGCATGCCATCGTAAAGGTAGTGAGCGCGGGATTTTAATAAACAGTGAGTGATCGCTTTAAGTAAAAAACTAAAAGTAAAAATATGAAAAAGACACGAAAGCGACGATAGAGGAGAATATGTTTTCTTTTTTATTTGCCTTTGATTTTACAACTTCGTACTGTTTGTGTGGTTTGTGTGCTTAGAATACTATTGCCATAAGAATATGGATAGCGCTGTCTTGAGGAAGAAAAACAAAAATGAAAAAACAAATAAAACAAAAAAAAAAAAAGAAGAAATCAGTTATAATCAAAACCTATAAAGTGTACTAAAGTTTTGATAATCGCAAACAGTCTATAACGAGAAGGGGCACCTTCTATATGCTATGTGCTAAGAACCGAGAAGTGATATATGAGTGAAAATAAAACGGAAAATTAATATCGAGATAAAAAAAACGGGAGTAAAATAAATAAAGAGAACAAAAGAATAGTTTAAGCTAAAAATTTGCCGAAATTAATTTTAAAAACAAGCTTAAAAATTTCGGAATTAATCAAATATAAATAAATAAGAGAATATTTCAAGTGTATCCTATAGGAAATTTAAAAGTTCTTTATTTTTTGGAAAAAAAAGAAGAAAATAAATAAAATAAAGTGAAAAACTTTGAAAATTATAAATAAAATATAAATAAATTGCATAAAAATAGCATAACCGGCTTTGCCTTTTCGACAGCTTGTTCGCCTTTCACAAGTGTTTACAAGTTTTCATACATTTACAATAACAAAATTAAATATCATAAAAGAAGTATGTGCGTGAAAATGGTTTCAATTATTTGTCATTGTTTTTTTTTTACAGTTTTTATTAATATTTTTAATACATTTTTTGCCTCCCCTTTTTGCAACGCTCGATAGCAATCATATTTTAATTTTTCATATTGATTTAACATTTCAGCATTTTTATGCCAAGCGAAAGAGCATCCGAGTACCCTAGTTTCACAACTACATTAACAACGCTTAGACAAATGAATTGAAATCCCAAACTGATCCACATTACATATATGTGCACACATATTGATTAGTGTAAGATTTCAAGTGTGTTTAATTGTCTCTTGTCGGAATTCCAGAAAAAAGCAGAAGCCGAGCTCACGTGTTAGAATGTTGAGAATAGTAATATTTAAAAAAAAAAATTCGACAAGATGGAATTACTAAGAGAATACCAAGGTATAGTCGCCCGTAATGCAAGCAGCTTGGTTTCTATATTTAACCAAAACTCCCGAATGTACAGTACACTACATTAGCATATTGTCCACTTAGCAAAGAGATTTGCGATACCTGTATATAGTTCCTTACATCGGACGGGTATTCAAAATTCGTCCAGAGGCGAAAGTAACTTTCTTCGTTATTTTTTATTTTATTTTATTTATTTTTTTTTTTTTCTCTCTGAAAATTGCTTTTGTATAATTTATGAACAAGGAATTGGAATTAATATCACAAACCAATTTACATAATCGCTTTTTGCCGGCTTTTATGCTCTATCCGATCTATTCTACTGCTGCTGCCGTTGCTGCTTGGCTCATTTGTATGTAATTTGAAACAAACTCAATGAATTTTCATTATAAAGTTAAATGGAGTTAAAAAGTAAATAAGAAAAATTATTTAAAAAAAAATAAACAAAAAGAGGATAATTTTGAAAAAAAAGCTGTGAATGCACGTTTAAACGAGTTCATTTTGAAAAATATCGAATTTATATATTGTTGCAAATGACAGCGTATTTTGCAGCATATATAACTATATGCACATACATAAAACAGACTGTGATGAAGCTGTGATGCATTTCAGTAACAGATTTTAATATTGATTACATTGTGATATTACAATGAATAATATGACACGTGTGCATATATGCGTGCATATATGCTTGAAGGAATTTTATTGTAATAAAACAAGGAAGAAATTATATTTAGCTTAATACGAATTTGCTGACTCCCATAAAATGAATTACTAAACGTAGCGAAGGGATCAATCCGCAAATGCTTCTCCATATTTTGGAAGTTACATAGACGATATATGTAACAAGGTAAACGATTGAATTTGTGTCGCTCTAACCAATCATCTGTCCGCTCGCTTAACCTTTCATCTCTGCTCCAGTTCGGCGCATCCTTTGGAACTTGAATCTCTCCTGCTCAGGAATTAAAAAAATAAAAATCTAAAATTTGGAAACATATTGAATTCCAAAGAATTTTTATTGCGCTTAAAAGAGGGAGCTTAAGTGAGTTAACATGTAAAATGAAGTGCGCTTGAAGCTGTACATGCGAGATTGGAGTTTTAACTTCACTTAAACCACAGGAACTAGACCGTTCATAACACGCATTTATACAAAACGAATACGTACGAGGCAACGGAAAACTTACGAACGTCACTTCTCTCTCTCTCTCTCTCTCTCTCTCTCCTGTAGAGAAGGCTGTGTACTTTGCTATTCAACCGCCCTAGAAATTGTTGCCAAGCAGGGTCGTAAGACTCGTTATTAAGGAAACTGATTTTAAGTATGAAAGTAAGTCAGTCCTTTTGGGGCTTCGAAGTGCTCATGTATTTGTGTAATCCAAGTGAAGAGTACAACACGGATTCATATAAGTGGGTCTACCGTATTTATATATTTGCAACGGCTGCACTTTATATCCGAATTAAGTTTCGAACCATTTCAATATCTAACTCCTGCAGCTATAAGTATTTTTACATGAATCTTACTTATCTTAAAGATCACACATCCGGACAAGAAGATGCTTTACTCAATACGACAGGAGGAGTTATAAATTTATTAGACTGTCCGTTGTATACGTACTATGACAATAATAATTCTTTTAAATTGAATTTCTTCATTTAAGGAAACAATGAACGAATACATACACATATATTATATACAAATATTTATGTTCTGATTAAAGCAATTCGTATAAAATTTTCCTTAAATTAATTCCAAAACTCGATCTTCAGGAAAGCAAAAGTGCAGTAAATATACGGAGAAAAATACGAAATTTATATTATAATAAAAATTTGCAAAGAGGACTTAATTAAAATTTTTTTTCTTTTTTAAATCAAAATAATAAATTCTCATTTCCATACGTTAATGAGTAAAGGTTTTTCAATTTTATTATGAATATTATGAATTAAAAAATAGAATATTATGAATTAAAAAATTGGATCGAAATTTTAGAGACTTTCTCATAATTCTCATACATGTCGAAAATTACTACACTAACAAACACATTCAAATTTCAGAGAAAATGTGAATTTCGTACAGTTGGCTTAGGTTATGGAAAACACACTTTTTTCCTACTTGCTTTGATAATTAGATGAATTAGTGTAAAGCATACCGTTAAACTCTTAGCAGCGGATATAAAATACGAACATAATGAATACAATGTTATAATGTATGTAACAATATAATATGTAATAACTTTCGATTTTGAGAGAAGATAAAGCTTTGTTGAAGATAATTTGTATTGAAAGTATTTTATCGTTGTTATGGAAGCAGTTTAGCTTTGTAAGTGTTTTTCGTGATATCAGTAATATTGGACATGTACTTGATGGTATGATCTTCGCATATCTGCTCATTAATGAAATTTTCGCAGTCATAAGCGCTAATTGATAGCTAATGCAAACATGGAACTTAACAAAAACACTTTTAATTTAACATCACCGATGGTGTTCAGGATACTTTTACTGCAGATTTCTGACGACGTCAATTAAGCAAATTGAACGGTGTATTGTTGTAAAATAGATCGGCAATAGCGCTTAAAAGAGACAAAGTCACAATCTTGCATGACAACGCTCAACAAGAGTTGTAGAGAATACGCTGTTGTAGCTCGAATTGGAAGTTCCGCCGCTATCACTGTGCTTACCAGGCACTATGTCTTCTGATTATCACTTGTTCATACCGATGCAGCACGGGTTGGCTGGCAGGCGGTTTCGAAATGCTTAAATTCGCCCACACTTATGACTAAAACTCAAAAAAAACTTACACTCCTGCAATTAAAGAAGGATCGTAACGAGCAGCCAAGACAGGCCCCAAAGCTTATATATTCGAATTTTTTAATATGATAAATCGATTAGCAGATGCCCCCTTTTCGTGCAGTTTTTTGGTACGACAAAAAATGAAGTTAACGAAAGGAAAGATATTTCTTATGTACTTAAAAGAGAAGTTAGAACGTTTTCTTGAATGCAAGATGCTGAGGCTGTCATTTAATGTAAGAAGTTGAATAGGGTGACGACATTGCTCTAACTGTCTTCTCGGACAACTTATCTTTTTGAGGAACAGTTCTGCAGCCGACGGTAAGGGACTAGAGGCTAAGGGAGGAGACGTTAAGGACGGAGGTGTAAGGGAAGATTAAATAGTCTTCTACCGGAAGTGCATCCATCGGTCTTGCAGATTTATTAAGTATTAACTTAAAGTATTTTAGAAATACGCAGGCACCGAGATTTTGAAGGACGAAATAGTACATGATTGCGTAGCATCGAAGTTTTGGTCATTACGGCTAACTTTCCTCTGTAGGCCACACGAACGGACAGTCATGTTTACATTGATTTCAAAAATGAGTGTGCATCGTTCAGGGTATATCTAATATCCATTTAGCTGTTTCATATACCTCAATACAACAGATTAGGTAGTAAGTAAGATTATCAAGCCAGCGGCGATGTTCAAAGATTTGGTCTATGTCCACCATAATCCCTTTAATTTTTCTATTGTTTCATTTCACACAAACTACAACACTATAAAACTTTTATGTGTTTATAGACGCGTAAATGCTTCTTTTTGTATACATGCCTATGTAATCGCAAATATAGACATAAACTACTTAAACAATATTAAAGTAAGATAGGGTTAGCGTGTATGATACAATATTTTTATATTATTCTGTTTTGTGCTTTATTTGTTGTGTTTATATTTTATTATCAACACGGGACTATTAAAAAAGTTCGTTAACAATGTACATTGTTCTTAATTTATTAAATAATATCAATAAATACAGTCTCTTACGGGCAGGTCTACACGAATAGTTATCGATAAGCACCTACATACATAATTCCCTAACACTCGAAGAAAAACGCATGTAGAGAAAGAAGTCATCGTCATGTGTTCATCGAAAAAAATGCATTCTTCATCAACTCTATAAGTAAAACGAAGCAATTAAAAAATAGCTATGGAAAAGTCGGTTCAATGTTGATGTTTGTTTCCCCGCCTGGTTGCTTGTTGAAGTGCACAACTGTGGAATGAAAGTAGCTCGAAGTGATTATAATAATTAGTGTGCGCAGCATAATATTTAGCAAGTTCTGTGGCACATGACATTGTGGTCTTCAAAGAAATTAACAATTCAAGCTACAAAAGCGTCGTTATCTTAATTAGATTAATTTTGATATTGTTTAACTAGATCTCTCCCATTCATTTTTGTGGCGTTTAGTATTTCTGTCTCTCAAGCCTGCTTAGGTTTTGTAAAATTTTATCGCGGTATTACACTCCACTACATTCGAACTTCTTTGTCTTTTTTGCTTGAAAGTTCCGATTCAAGTCCCTCTCCCCTTTTGCTTATACCTCTTTCGAAAAAGTCGCCAATACTTTATGTTGTGATATTTTACTTAATCCTCTTAGTTGCTGGACTTACGTTTTTATTTGTTAGCCGGGAATATCGGTCAGTCCTCTGGAATTTCTGTTACTCTGTTTGCATTTCATCTTTTCTTCTCTAGCAGGAAATTTTCGTTACAAGTCGGCCGCATAGTGTCTCTCTATTCATCGACAATATTTAATTGCTTTTCCAATATTTTCGGAAATTTGATTTTTAACAGAATTAATCACTTTTTATGTGGATTCATTTTATCATTTATGACATTTTCGTAATATAAAAAAAAACGGATGCTTCGGACAGTAGAAGAATCGAATCTTCTAGATGGTCTGATCGTCGAAACGGTGTCCGACGTAATCGCTGTTTCGCTTTGCTACTGCTTGCTTATTAAAATATTTTTTTTTTTTTTCGATATCCGAATGCCTTCAGCTACTTAGCGTATAGATTGTAATTATAAGCATGCGTACACATGTGAGACGATTATTTCATACATATGTAAGTGAAAAGGAACGAAGTTGAAAGATGTCGGAGTAAAAGGAAGAGACATTCATTAGAAAATAGTAAATTTCTTATAAGTAAATGCTAAATTTAATATATAGTAGGGAT